GCTGAGTGCCTCTTCCTAAACACTATATTATAAGAGAAAGAAAACGGATTTACTTAGATGTAGGACACACCTCGTCCTCCACGATGCGATGTGGTTTCCGAAAACTGAACACGATTTCTTTTTCCACGTTTCTGACTATTTTCTCCGGAGATTGAGTTCGTTGTTCCTACCTTAGCAGCTGCTTTACGCGCTCTGTATTGTTTTTCTTTTTCATCATCGCTAAATACTGCCTCATCATCGGAAACATCTTCCTCTGCTTCAATTTGCCTGAAAGATGATTCTATCATGACTTTGGAAATTAAGATTAGAACCACAAAAAACTAAATTGCATGAGAGCTCTTCTATTCATATTTACACGACTAAGAGTTAACTTACTTTACTTGAGTTTCGATTACAGTTTTTGTATACTGGTCTGCTTTGGGAGCGTAGTATACTTTCATTCCAACCTCTATCTTTGCAGCCTGGAAAGCAGCATTGAAGCCCTTCAATAAACTAACCCCATTATATTTCGCCTTGTTTACGAGTTAAGAAAGACAGGAGCTTCTCATTGTCTAAAAACGAGATAGCCATGACCCTGCAGCTGTAAACGGCGTCCCCTTTCGCTATACCCCCACCACCACTCAAAATCTTCTAACCTCTTCCTTACTGTTGTACCTCACTGAATAAAATGGGCTTTTCACTGGACCAAACAGATCGAAAACTACACCAATAGAATTGCGATCCTGAACAGAACTCATTAAAGGTGAGAAAAGAACAATGAATAAAAAAGTACCTTATCAAAAAGGACTGAGTCAAAATCAAGGGCAACACCAGAGTCTGACTGAATTACTACTGAAAAAATTTGTATTAGGGAAACTAGTAAAATATCGTTAAATACAGATAAAATCTACTTGTCTACCTAGACAATCTACTACAGATGTCACATGCCCTACAACCTCTAAAGGTATGGATTCATCGCAGTGAATTGATAAGTTTTCCAACGGCGGAAGAGCGTCATATCTGAAGTAACAAGACGGGATGATTATCGATCTCCTTGTGCGGAGAAGGTTTGTAAAAAACTAACTCATTCGTAAGATCGCCTGTGTCAAATAGTTCAGTCCTTAACTTCTTCTTCTCCGGTATGCCGCCAGGGTGATCTTTCTTAAAAGTTTTGATTCTATTTTCGCATGTATACTTCTGCAACCTGAAACAACTTTCTTACATGGGATAGTCTATAGATCTCGCTCGAAACTACAAAAAAAAAAGGTTTAGAATATGAAATAAGTAGAGATGAAATGAGATGACTTACACAGCAAAAGGAATAGAGCAATATGGTTAGATAAAACTTAATATAACACTGATGCCGAGTACCTTCTTTAAAATTATCGTATTTGCGATAAATCACCCTCACGAAAAAGATGAACCTACAATGAACGACATTGTAAAAAGTCCAGAATTAAAAAAAAAAAAACATACTGTACTTGGAGGCGCAGCTCAAGCAGATAGATCTCCAAACAGTGAAAACTCAAGGCAAAAGGTATAATTCAAAAGATGTTAAGAAAAAAGTCAC